CCCCACACCCCTACCCCACACCCACACCCCACACCCTTCAGTTACCTTTGGACCACCCTGTATGCATTTAATTATTTTTGTTTGAAATAGTATGTCAAAATGTGCAGCACCAAAGAGTCCTTCTTTTTAATTAAGTTTTTTTCTCTTATATATACGATCACTTGAATAAATTGAATTTTAGTTTTAGAGTTTTTAGACTTATTAAACTTGTAATTCCTTCTCTCCTTCCGAAAATAAGAATTCAAAAAAAATGAGTCTTTGGTGTCCTGCATCCTGACATGCTCTTTCAACCAAAAAAAGAAAAATAAATATCTTTGAAGAGTCTCGATCGAGAAATTCGAGATGCTGAATCAGCTATTTTTGAACCTTTTTTGATAAATGTCTGTCAATCGTCATGATATAGAGTTGAAAATTTTACCATAGCTTCTCCACTACAACCACAACATATTCTCAAAATGTCATGGAATTCGAATGTTCCTGGAATGAGATTGATTTTTGAGGGATGTAGAGATCTTCAGCCTGAGTCATACGCGTCTAGTCTATTTTTAATGTCTCTATTTATAAGATTTATATTTCAAATGCAAACACCAAAATCAAGACGACGATGATGTATTTCTGCATATAATTTCAATGTTTTATCTAGATTTATATCGAGATCGCTATAGATGTATGCAGCACAAGAGGAAAACAGCTAAAATGAGATTTTTTTGATTTTTTTCAATTTTTTTCTGATTTAAAATAAAAAACAAACTGTTTCCCCATTGTTACAGCAGCAAAGAAGTAAAAAATTCTGAAGAAGTAAAATTACAATTGGGAATTGTTATTTTTTAAAATTACAATGGGCAAATCTTAAAATGAAATGGGCAATTACCCATTTGCCCTCCCCCTGGTTACGCTACTGGTACTTATCATCTGATCTTATATTCTTTCTTGACTAGACGAATGAATTTCAAACATGCCAGATACTGGAGTGAGAGTTTCGTATTGATGATTGAAAATTCGTAAAATTACAGTTGCTTTTCGTTATACTTGTCTGTTATTTTGAAAGAAACAAAGTACTAAGACTAAACTATCCTAATACCGTTCGTTATTCCTCCCTTTCTTTTTATCACATAACACAGTCAGCAATTTCTCTCATATGAAGCAATATTACTGAATAGAACCGTCTCGTTACGATCATTCATTTGTAACACATTAATCTACTATAGGTATTATATTCGTTTGAATGATTAAAAATGTTGGTTGTCTATAGAAATATTAGTTGAATAAACTCTTAATTTGAAATATTGTCACCTAGACGTCATCCTCTATGATAGTAACGATCGTAACCTTGTTTCTGTGAGAAGGTGTGGGTGTCGAGATAGGGATGTCTTTTCTTGGTACGGACCCCCACCCACCCGACACTCATACCAACCCAGACATTAACGCCCACACCCACACCATGAACAATATTTATATTGATACAGAATGATAGGATGGATAGCCGTGGACATGGGTGTGGAGTGTGACTGTAACATTGATTAACCGTTCATGCACTCAAGCTCACACTCATCAGACGCCCAAGCCGTTTTCACCCTTCATTTCGCCCCCATTCTTGCTCGAAAAGATACGTACCGTTGAAAAAATCGTTCATTCTCAGTTAAACCACAATACCAATATATAGACTTTTACTGCTAATCATCAAATAATGTTTCGAATTAAAAAGCTATTCCTGCTGATGTTTACGAGTATCTAATATTAAATAGGCATCATAGAAATATTTCAATGGCAATAGAAGGTTTAAATAACTACGGAGCGCAAAAATACTCAAGCAACTGTTTGAGTAGCTATGTAAGATTTAAATACTTATGCCACTACTCCAATAACTATTTAAATGCTTAAAAATATGCGAGTAATTAAAAAGCTATAGAAAACTTAAATGTTTATGCAGATGTTTAAATAGCTATAGATACTTTAAATAGCAGCAACGTTTCAAAGTCATTTGTACTAAACAAAAATTGTGTCTTTTTTGAGAGTGAGCCCCTCAGACCCACCCACACCTACATATCCACACCTCACATCCAAAGTCGATTATTTTTGGATATTCAAAAATCTTTATTATTTCAATTTGTATGAATTTTCTGATGATAAGCCACAGTATTACATAGAATAATATATATTCAGATGATAATATGTTTTTGAAAAAGCCTGAGAATTTGAAATGGAAAAAAACTACTATGCCTACTCACTTGTAGGGTGTGGGTACGACTATTGGTCTTTTCTTTGCTGATACCATCATCCTACACATGTCTCATGGAGATAGACCAGCAACCACACTCACTTTTTTTTAATTCTAATTTACAATCAAATATTATTCTATTATTTTTGGATTAAAAAAATTCAATCAGGATAGTCGACAGAGTAAAGAACATATTTTAACGTTAATGTCCAAACTTTTCTTTTTTATTTGCGATTCCCAAAAAGACAAAGATAATAAATAAAAAAATCTGAGAAATCACAATCAAAACATGTTTTAAATCGAAAGACGATGAACCATATTAATAGTTAATTGATTCAGTTCATATTTTCGACTTCTGACGATTTACCAATATTCTCTTTTAACCATACTTGAAGAGATCGATGATCAGACGTTACTAAGAACTTTTTTTCTTTTTCACGAAGCCACGTAATCATTTTTATCCATGTTGTTGATGAACTCCAATCGCATTTAAATGTAATCTTAGACAAATGTTCAACACGTTCAAGGATCAATTTCATGGCGTTAATATCTAGTGAATGTATTATGAGATGTTCAATATGACTAGATATGGCAGCACATTCTTCATCTATATTTCCTCGTAAACTACCGTTATTCCGTATTCCAAAAGTATGAACATTGGGTGCTTTTTCTACTATAGTATTGATTTTACTTGCTTGCAATGTTTGTTTACATGATAATAAAAACCAAACTTCTTTTAGCTGTGAAAATTTAATTAATTTTGAAAGAAGTTCGAATGAACCAGATCGTTGCCAATCTTCATACCAATCGATATCAAGTCCAAGTCGAATTACATTATCAAATAAATAATGCTTTGGAATTTTGAACTAAAAAGAAAAATAGAAGTAAAATAAATAATTTTATTTGTATAAATATCTTGTAAGATTTTCACTTATTATTATTAATAGTAGTAAGATTTAATAGTCATACTTACATGACGAAAACTAATAGCTTGTTCGATATCAGTTAAATTGAAGAGAGCATTCCACATATTTTGCATGTTTGGTTTATCATCATCTTTTGTAGTAGAAGTGAAATACGATATAAAACCTTTCTTGAAATTTTGCCAAAAATCAACATGTCCATCGATGGAAGAATAAAGAATAAGTCGAGATCCTTCATCATTAATGACATATTGAAATATAACATACCAACGTTTATGTTCAATCCAAAATGATGTTCGATATGCAGCAATAATTGATTGCATACTTCTTAAATCTTGATAAGACATTCGAGTAGAAATTTGAAAATGAAAATGTTTAAGTCGAGGTAATTTCTCACGAATAAAAAATTCCCATTGTGAAAAACGTCGTAGACTTTGAAATGAAGAAATATTATTTGCTGTTAAATTGAAATAAATAAGTGATGGATGAGATATAAGAAGAATTTCAAGTTCATCGATCGAAAATAATATATCATTTAATGTCAAAGATGTTAATTGTTGATATGTAGTAATTGAAGGAATAGTTTTGTTAATATTACTCATATCAATATCTGCTGTAGAGATGATTCGAAGATTTGGTGAATGATAAAAAATATGACACCATTGTTTATAGGAACATTTTCTTAATTTCAATTCTCGAACTTTTCCATCATTTGGCCATGAAATTTGATCGATAATTCGAGAACTAATATCCAAATCGAGTTTTCGAAGACTTGGCAATGCAATAACCATTGAAAGAAGAATGATTGTATCATTTTTAAGAATTCTTCTATCGAAGATTTTTAATGATTGGAATGTAGAGAGAGTTGTCAAATGACATATTATCATGCGAAAATCATTTTCATTCATACTTTCAAGATAAACATAACAAAGTCTAGTAAATTGATGAATATTAAAAAATGAAAAAAACCAATCAATATTATTCGATTTAGTGTTTCCATAGATCTTTCGAAGAATCAATGATGTTACATTTTCTGGTGAAATCATTCGATACAAACGATAAGCAGAAGTTTCATTTTGATGATCCGAAATTTTAATTGTTAATCGATTGTAAATATTTGTAATAGAATAAAATCTTGTACAAACATAACGAAATGAAAATAGTATGTCTTCAATATTGAGTTGATCCAAAATACGATGAAGAATTTCAGTAGGAAACGTTAGAAGAGATGAACTTGATTGAACAACTAACAATGAATTTTCCATTATCTATATTTAAAAGAAAATGAAAACTTTTAGTAATACAATATTTTTTTATTGATTAGTCATTCAAATTGTATTTGTACTTCTATGTGAAAACATAATTCGATTCGACAAAAGAATAGACAAACACCAAGTGATGCAATAATACATGGAATTTATCCAAAAGCGAAAAGCACAATTATATCTTTCCTTAATCATTTAGATTAAAACAGTGAAAATCTTGATCATATGAAATTTGATAATTGAAAATCTTAAGACTTGTCATTTATACTAATACTATTTTAACTACAAAGTTGAGATACATTTATTATTCCAATGCTTAAAGTGATAAGAAAATTCATAATAAATCGTGACACACATAACATTATTGCTTATGAACATTCAATGTGAATCGCTTAGAGTGTATGGATTGAAAACTTAATGGTGAAATATCTTAGCGAGAATATTCTTATAGTCGAACAACAATTTATTTATCACGAAAATATTCTATACTTAAATAGCCATGATTATTTCTTATATTGTGACATTTCAAATATCAATCAATACTTTTCAAGTATTTTTATTTGAATATGATAATAATAGATTGATTGAGATAATATTGATAAATGAATAATCAAACATATATAGCATTTATATGTAAAATGTACTTCACTTTAACATTATTCTATAGATAATCTAGAAAAAAAACAGTGATTCTCATTATTATTTGCCATTGATCGAGCATCAATCATATTTAAACAAATCGTTCAAGAATTGAAGTTCATGGGTAGATTTTTAATTCAAAATAGAATTTATCTTTCAAATTGGTCAATTAATAGATTGATATTTTTATTCTAATCAATCAGTTATACATAAAAACACCAAAGTCAGTATAAGAGAAAGATGATATTGGTATATATTCTAAAATTGTTCAAATGAATCACAAGCTTGAATTAGCACAAACATAAGAAATACATTTACATTTATTATTCGTCTCAAAAATCAAGAAGAGTAAGAATTTTTGGAATAACTTTCGATAGAAATAAGATAGATATCTGCAGTTTTCACCATTCGATAGAAGAGATAAAACTGCATTGGATCTCATATTTCAGATGTTCTTGAATACCCTTATGCGGGGAGGAGGGCTTTAGCTAAGTCTTTTGAAGCAGTGACATTTTCCTGTATTCTTGGAGAAAACTCCCATTTGCTTCTCTCTAGAAGCGTCAACATCTCAAAGCACTTGACTAAAGCGCCAAGTAAAAGTTATCAAGAACATCTGAAATATGAGATCCGATGCAGCTTATCTCTTCTTTCGATTGGTGAAAACTACAGATCTCTATCTTGTTTCTATCGAAAGTTATTCCAAAAACTCTTACTCTTCTTGATTTCTGAAACGAATAATAAATGTAAATGTTTGGTGGAAAAATAAAAAATGTTACTGTTTTATACTTCAAACTGCATCTGTTATTTAACATAAATATACCATCAGATGCAGCGTCTTCCAGACTTTCTCTCTCTATATATAATAGGTTTAAAAACAAACAAGTTATGGTAATGAAAACAGAAGAACTCAAAGGGTCTGATTTCAATTTTTGTGAACTTTATAACATGAATACAATCATCTAACAAAATCTTTCATCTTTTATGTTTCATTGAATTTTCTGATTTTTAATGACATTATTTTATATTCATTCCAATTTGTGAAATGTTTTGGTAAAGTAATTTTAATGTATCTGGTGTAGTAAAAATAAATTTTCGATCAATATCTAAGTGATTTGTTGTCTTTTCTAGAATTTCAAAGAATAGAAAATGTAATAGTAACTTATTAGTTTCTCTAAGTAAGAACTGAGCACTTTTAGTTGATACTTTTGAGAATAGAAAGAACTCCCTAATCTTACTCCTTGGACATCGCTCAACTACTTGTAAGGATGACCAATTTCATTAGATAAAAAGCACTTGAAAATAAAAAGAATTGATCCTATCAAGATATAGATGTTTTCATCGGTATGATTAGTTATTTTTAACCTCACGAAATATCAATATGGTCTGCATATGTGTCAAGTAGAGATCTGCGTGACCATTTCGTCGTGACCAAAAGAAAAGGAAATTCTTCGATAATATTTTCCACGGTGAATGTGAAAAAATAATTCTGTTTGACGTTTTCTACTCAGAATTTTAAGCTCTTCAAAATGACACAA